TAATACTATTTGTCACAATTTATTTAAACTTTTGGGGTTTTACACTCACTCTCGAGGAGAGTCTTCACTATCTCAACCAGTTTTCAACGTTAACCGAAAACGTTTACAACTCACACAATCAGTTTTCTAGCTTACCAAAAACTCTTGCAACTCTCACACTTATAACTACACAACACACCCTCTAAGTGTTGGCCTATCCCGTGTCATCTTCCTCAAGTGCTCGGATTTACCACCTCTCCCTAGACTTTATTACCGACGCCACTCCTCTTGGAATCGACCCAGTCTCTCATCACACACTTCTCTCGGTATCCTTGTGTATTACAATGTGATCTCATAAATTAAGCACAAATAAAAGTGTTTGTTCTCTAAACAAGATGAGAACTCATTTAAGCTCACTCTTAATATTACAACTCCCACAACTCAAATATATAATATGTGAAAATACTAAAAGCTCAAGTGAGTTGTGTGTGTAAATAATGAGTATAATGAAATGCAAACTCAATATAAAAACTAGCTTAATAAAATTGATAATCAACAAATAAATATATAAAGCTAGAACCGAGTTAGCAAAAATTTCTCTGCAGCAAGAGTGATGGAGATGAGAAATTAAAGCCCAAACAAGAATGAATAATCTCCTCTTCCTCTAGTGAAAACTTCTTCACAAAACAAACTTGAAAACTCTTATAAACTCTTAAACAAACTTGCCCAAAACTTTATTAAAACTTTTCTTTTATTGTAGGAGTATTTAAGGCAAAGGGGAATATATAGGTTCCAAGAACCAAGTCCAAGAAACCAACAAAAATCAACAAAAACCACAAAACAATAAAAATCTGAAAACTAGTCATTACTGTACAACGACTCTATTGTAAGTCGACTTATGACAGGTATGAGTCGACTTATATAGTATAATTTGACTTATTATATTATAAGTCGACTCAACAGATTAAAACCACCATCTGCATAACACTTTATAAGTCGACTTGGTACTGTAGTAAGTCGACTTAAAATGTGCATATTGCCTGAAATGAATAGTAAATATCAACTTTGAAACCTCTTTAAAAATATCAAATAAATTCCAAAAAATGTAAAACTTAGGGAAATGTTTATAAACATATAAATGAACATGTTAAAAAAAGAAATTTTTAAATTATATTTCTCATTTGTGAAAACTCTTTATTTTGCAAAATAGTCCAAAACACGAAGTTTCAGCAACACATGATTTTGACACAATGTTTTCAAACAAGTTTGAAACTTCTTTTAAGTGGATTAATTCACTTTATAAAAGATGTAAAATAGTATAATCAAGTCTTTAATCCATAGATACATTATTTTGTAAACTTACAAAAGTATGAAAACGAAAGACATGATTTTATTGATTTGAATATGTTAAAGCTTGATTTTAATGAAATTGTTTCAAGCACGTATAAACATGAAACAAATATGTGTGTATATAACTATATCCATTTATTTCATATTTATGTAGCTAAATCTTGAAAGCAAATAAAATGAAAACGATGTGTGTGTATAATATTGAGCTTGAAATATTTGCACACAAGTATAAACTCCTAAAAACTAAAACACTATACCCAAGCTAATGATCTCTCACTGAAGCTTGATCTTGAATCTTTGAATTGAATGTATTGGCTTTATTCCGGTATTTCTTTCAACCTCCAATGGATATGATCGTGTAAGCGCAAGTACATCCAACCTCCAATGGATGATCTTTGTGTAGAATACCTAACAATCAAATGAAAACACTTGACAAACGTTGTTAGGAATTGTTTTTTTAACCATCATAACTAGATTAGATAGCATGCTCATAAACATGAGACCTAACATTAGAGCCCTAATTAATCAAGTTAAATCTGATTGGTGATGTTTATGGAATTTTTTAAACCCAAATTCATGTTTTTGTTGATGGACACTTGTTTGGCTGAGCCCCATAAAATTTTGATGCAAAATTTAAATCGTGATTTAACACCCGATGTTGAAATTTTACAAATTTATTAGAAAATTGATTAACTTCATGAAAATTATCAGTTTTGTTCTAGCGCTTGGGTCGGTCGACTGACCACATTGATCAGTCGACAGATCAGGTTACAGAACCTTATGTTTTCTCTCTGGTCAGTCGACCGATTTAGGGAACCAGTCGACCGATCAAGACTATTTTGTTTTGCATGTTGTGCTTATCGTCGCCCAGCCGACTGATACGATATAAGTTGACTGATCTAAAGCTGTTTGCAAATTTTGATCTTCCACGCACGTTTGGTCATGAACATGAAGTCCGGGCCCGCACGTCGATACACGTGCATGACCATGTTAGTGTACATGTTGGGGTTTAGGTACGCATGCATCCTCGGGAGTACGTGGCTATGTGTTGAGCTCGTTGCGACGTATGGGGGTATTAACTAACGAGTTGCATAAGTCAGCGTCAAATGATTGCATATATGGATGGCCGAGATAGGTTGTGAGCCGCACGAGATTGTGATGAACCGCGGGATACTGCGAGTACCTATGCTCCGCATCATACTTCTACATAGATGTTCGAGTTCGGTTGTGAGCTGCACGGTACTGCGCTGAGCCATAAGATACTGTGATCACCGAGACTCATATCTCTTTTGTTTGCATTGTGTTTCGAATTAGGCTGATATGCCTATACTCCGCTTGATGTCCGAGTTAGGTAGTAAACCACATGGTATTGCGATGAGCCATAGTATATTGTAAGTACCTAAACTCCACACCATTTTCGATAAAGAGGATTACAAAAGATTGTGTATTTGTTCCTGTATCATCTACCCCGAGGATTGTGTGTAATACTGTGTTTAGACATGTATGATGTGTCCTTGATGAGGTTTTCACAGGATTGTATTTTTGTTTCCGTACCACCTACCCTAGGGTAGTGTGAGATTATATGATACGACATATACGACGTATTATGGATGAGGTGTTAGTGATGTATTTTTTGTTATGATATTCTCATTCGCTAGAAATATAATATATAAACAAAGCACTGATGAGTGCGTTTCAACAAACAAGGCCCCAATCAGCTTAGTGGCCCAAACCCAACAGAAGCCTCGACCCCGTCGACTCATCAAATCGACATTCTTTCATCCTAACACGAAAGGCGGGATCAACCGACCCTATCATCGAAGATGACCCACCAAGGGCACTCGACCATTTACTCGGCGACTCATGAAGATGACTTGATGAACATTCCCTACCGACTAGATTGAGGAATAACCTCTGCCTTAAGTCTCTTCCCCTGAGCACATGTCGGCATCCCAATCCACCCCGGACAAGCCTTATCTTGATTCTAACCTGAAGGTCTTCATGACTTGTCAGCTGCCCACGTGCCTTCTGCCATGCTCTCAACCACTTTTCGGAAAATGCAAAGACACCCTCTCCCATACCGAAGTGACTTCCCCTCTAGTCGCCAGCCAACACCTGTAAAGCGAGGGATGACTCAGCCTGCCAGCATTCCTTCTGCCACACTCTCAATCACTTTCCGAAAAATGCGGAGACACCCTCTCCCATATCGAAGTGATTTCCCATCGAGTCGCCAGCCGACACCTGTAAAGCGATGGATGACTCGACTCTTAGCCCACACTTTGCCAAGGTCTCTCTCTCTCTCTCTCTCTCTCTCTCTCTCTCTCTCTCTCTCTCTCTAAAGGGTTGTCTATCTCTCTCCAAAAAGAGGAGAAGAGGAGAATTCTCTAAAAAGGGAAAAAACATACACAGTTCTTCATATACACAGAGGAGCTCATACAGATCCTCTGTAATGACACATTGCCACCTCAAGAACCACCTCGGTTCCTGACCTTCCCCTTCTCCACTCAAGTTTCATTAACTTGACCATCGGAGGAACCACCGGGAAACCGGTTCCGACCCTCTCACGGGTTCTTCTTGTTTGTGCAGCATAGACTTCAGCCTCCAATTTAAGAACTAGGCATAAAGTCGGAGAAGGAGGCGGCCCCTTCATCAATCTCCTCTACCTCGTACCAGCGAGGACTCAAGAGGAACTGATCCCTCCCTGGATCCGCATTTATCCTCTTCTGGATACGATTGACTGTTTGATCCTAGCCATCAATATTTTCCTTTGTTGATGATCTATTTATAGGTTTTGATGTTGATATTTAGTGATCCATAATTTGAGATACATGGTATATATATGAGGGTTTCCATATTTGGATTATTCGCTCGATGTACTCATCTCGTGTTGTGAGTTTCTAAATCTTAACTCCACTTAGTACATGGTAAATGATATATGTAGGTTATGCATATTATAGATAGAACCTCCATTATATGTGTTAGCCCTTCCCCTGGGGGCGGGCGGAGATGTTCTTGCTAGCGTTCTGACGTTGTTGTATTCACTTCTTTTCAGGTAACAGGTCAGAGTTTCTGAGAGCTGCAGGTTGACGGGAATTCAACATAGTCACTGTCATTCATAGGTAGCTAGTTGGTGCTCCACAGTGGACTATTTATGATTTTAGTTTTCTTTTAGAAATGTATTTTATTTTGGAGGCTTGGTGCCTTAGTACTGTATCAATTGACTCTTGTGCTTAGAGATATATTACTCTTGTTTCAGTTTATTAGATGTACTTTCTTTTCTTCTGTTGGAACATAATCATATTCGTTATTGAATATTTCTTCTCTACATTGTGTTCCTTGTATTGTCATCTTGGTTATATCTGCTTGTACCCTCACTTCTTTATATTTGACATTTGCTAGAGTGATATTAATGTGATGGTGAAACATATTTATGCACAGTGTTTAGTGCATGACAGGTTTGATATCTTTGAGTTCACCTTGGATTGTAGCATGTGCGAAAACATGGGCGTCACACTTACATAGTATATCATGAGTAGTCTGAGATAAGTTTAAGGGCGTTTCTCTAAACTTACAAGTTCAGAGAAGCTTTTTCCAACTCTGCTCAAAGTTCAGGGGGTCTTGGATTAAAGAGGGGCGTCACACTTACATAGTTTACCATGAGTAGTCTGAGATAAGTTTAAGGGCATTTCTCTAAACTTACAAGTTCAGAGAAGCTTTTTCCAACTCAGCTCAAAGTTCAGGGTGTCTTAGATTAAACTCCCCATTAGTATAAGCTTTTTGCAAAGTTCAGGGGGGTTGTCAAATTTACTCATGTTAAACTGCCCCCTTCTCTTCCCGCCAACCTACCGTAAATTCATAAATGAATCGCCTCCTCTTCCTCCGCCATTACCACGCTCCCTCCAAAATTACCGAAATACCCTCAAACCCCATCCTCCATTACGCCTCTCTCCTCCAAACGCTAACCAAAACCCCAACGCCCTCCTCCTTGTATCTTGGCATCGCCGTCCACTCCCAAATCCTCAAACTCGGCCTGGACTCTGACCGCTTCGTCTCCAACACCCTCCTCTCCTTCTACTCCTCTCTCTCCCCCGACCTCTCCCTCGCTCGCCGCCTCTTTGATCATCTCCCCATCAGAGACGTCGTCTCCTTCACCTCGCTTGTTGTAGCCCACTTACGCCGAAACCAACCCCAACATGCCCTCCGACTGTTTGCTCAAATGCCCCACTCAAACGTTCAACCCAATGCATTCACTCTCTCTGCGGCAATCAATGCGTGCAAAAACCTTGGCGACGTTAAGCTTGGAAAATCCATACATGGGTTAGTCTTCATTCGTGGGCTTGACTCAAACTTTGTGATTGTTAGCTCATTAATCGACATGTACGGTAGAAATGATGCATTGGACGATGCGAATAAGGTGTTTGATGAAATGGGTCAGTTGCATTTTGACCCAGTTTGTTGGACCACGATGATATCGGTTTGTACGAGAAATGATCAGTGGAATGAGGCGGTGTCGTTGTTTTATTCAATGGTGAGGAATGGAGGTGGGGTTTTGGTTGATGGGTTTATGTTTGGGAGTTTGTTTACGGCGTTGGGGAATTTGGGGAAGGAGAGGGTAAAACAAGGAAAGGAGGCACATTCAAAGGTTGTTACTAGCGGGCTCGAAGGGAATGTTGTAGTTGAGAGTAGTGTTGTCGATATGTACGCAAAATGTGGGCTTGTTGGTGATTCTAGAAAAGTGTTCGATAGAATGACAGTGAAAAATGTGATTTCTTGGTGTGCATTGTTGAGTGGCTATTGTCAGAACGGTGAATATGAATCTGTAATTCGGTTGTTTCGGGAGATGGATAAGGAGAGTGATGGTGATCATTACAGTTTTGGCACTGTACTTCGTGCTTGCGCTGCCCTAGCTGCCGTCAGGCATGGCATGGAGCTCCATTGTCGGTTCCTTAGGACCGGAGGATGGAGGAATGTAATCGTAGAGTCTGCTCTTGTTGATTTATATGCAAAATGTGGAAATATAAACTTTGCATATAGAGTATTCTCTAACATTTCAACGAGGAATTTGATAACATGGAATGCGATGATTTCTGGCCTGGCTCAGAACGGGCGAGCAATGAAAGCAATAGAGACGTTTGATAAGATGATCACAGAAGGATCAAAGCCCGATTACATAAGTTTCATAGGCGTCCTCTTCGCGTGTAGCCACACTGGCATGGTGAATGAGGGCAAGAAATATTTCCAGTCGATGAGAGAAGACTACAAGATAAAGCCAGGGATCGAGCACTATAGTTGTATGGTCGATCTTTTGAGCCGTGGTGGATTGCTCGAAGAGGCTGAGGAGTTGATAGAGGCGTCTGATATCTATAGAGAGGATTCGTCGTTGTGGGCAGCGCTATTGGGTGCTTGTGCGACGCATTTGAGCCCTGATGTGGCTGAGAGAGTGGCAAAGAGGATGATGGAGTTGGAGCCGAGGTATCATTTGAGCTATGTTTTGCTTTCGAATGTGTATAAGATGGTAGGCCGATGGAGCGAGGCCGTGGAGGTGAGGAGATTGATGAGGTTGAGGGGAGCAAAGAAGGAGCTCGGTAAGAGCTGGATTGAGGCTGGCTCTGTTAGTAGAGAATGGCAAAGATTTGAGGATTTGAATTTTGAGAGGGAAGCTTCAACTCCTCACTAGGGTTTGCGGATTTTGGTGTCTGAGACAGTTGAATCGGACCCGAGTGTGATTGTGACAGCTGGTACGTTATTGAATTTTTTTGTTTATTTTCTTCTAGTTATAGATACTCGATGATTGCACATACATTTCACGTGTCAAAATAATAGGAAGTGTTAACTAATACAAATCTTATCATCACACGACGATATGCGAGCGGAATGTTTTGCACCACCAATGACGGGCACCATGCCCATATGCAAGGTAAAGAAAAAGGAACACCAACCCCCCAAAAAAGAGTAGAAGAAGCAAACAAATCTACGAGGATCAATAGTCAAGAAAATTTCACTTAGACTATCTGCAGCAATAAAACTATATGAGGCCTATCTGCAATTGGGCGAGGGTAAGATGTTCTAGCCACAATAAAATAATGAAGAAGAAATATGCAAAATAGACATATTTTGCTAAATATTTAGCAAAACATATCGTTTTGCTAAATATTTAGCAAAATACACTTCTTTTTGGCCAACAGGCCAAAAAGAGGTCGATTTTGCAAAACAGACCATTCGAAACATACGGGACTAGTAGTCCCGTATGATTTAATGGGGGATTAAATCATACGGGATTACTAGTCCCGTATGTTTCGAATGGTCTGTTTAGTAAAATCGACCTCTTTTTTGCCAACAGACCAAAAAAGATGTCTATTTTGCTAAATATTTAGCAAAACGGCCTGTTTTGCTAAATATTTAGCAAAATAGGTTTATTTTGTAAATTTCTCCTATAATGAACTCTATTGTCAAAGCTACAATATATAGAGAAGCAAAATCCATGAGATTGTAATCTTTCAAACCCTAGGAAATGGTTAGTGCATAACTTCACCTCACTCTTAGGAAGCTCAAAGAGATTTTCGAGGACATCCAAGGATCAATCGCGTTGGACGCAAGCTGCATGTGATGTGACCTTGTTGCCGTCATAAATAACACTGTCAAGCACCATGATTAAGAGGTCAATGTGTGGGGAATCAGCACATGATAGCTTTTAGGTGGGTAGGCGATTCAACAAACTGTTCGATATATTTCGGTATCAAAAATCAAATTGGGGATCTTTTTGCGTGCATACAATTAGTTTGTTGTTTCTTTCTGGGTAACTTTCACAAAGCCCTCCTAAGCTTCTGGTGACCTTGCACAAACCTTATAGACTTCATAAATGAGAAAAAGAAAAAGAAAAGGAATTAAAAAAACTACCGAACTTTCAAAATTATAGTAAACATCCCTGAATTATTTGACGTGAAGAGTAATAATTTTGAATTTTTATAAAATCGAATGAAGAGCATTCATATGAGAAACCAAGACACATCAATTATGTCTTATTTTAGATTTTGTAATTCTATACACTGACGTCATCTGTAAGATTTTCCAATAGTTCAAGGGGTTTAATATAATTTTGAAAGTTAAAGGGGGTATTCTCCGATCTATAGAGTTTAAGAGGGTTTTGTTCAAAATCCATCAAAGCTCAGGGGTTTTATGAAATCTACCCTTTTTCTCTGTATTCTGCAAGGCAGCGAATAAGCTCCGTTTTACTAATTGGGCCATACTCCGGCCGATTCATCGACGCCTATAGGAATAGGAAATTGCAAAGAAATCTGACCTGGGGCAAAAAAAAAAAAAAGAAAAAAAAAAAGATGGATAGAAAGAAAGAAAGGGGGAAAAAGGAAACTGCAACAATAAGGGGCTCTCATGTCTCAAATTAGGTGCCACTGATCCATGTAATTTTAGAACTAAATAAATGTAATCTTTATTCTTAATTCTTCTCTCTTGATCTCCTATAAGGGTTAGTATGGCGTCATTTTCATTAGTCTTCATTGCATTTCTAATCGTCACAACTAATTACTACTAACATCAATTAAATCAATTGTCACATCTTGTCTCCGTTCTCTAACTCTTAATTTGAACGCCCCTTTCTTTTTCTAGACAAATTTTCAAAACCAACCTATTTGAAAATTTAATCCCAGAAAACAACCACTTTCAAACTTAATTGTAAAAACCGACCTGGTTTCAGCCTTGACGCTGAAACCAAGTCGGTTTTTGTGAAAATACTTCGGAAACTTCACGGGAGTTGAACTCCCGTGAAGTTTAGCAAAACTGCTAAACTTCACGTGAGTTGAACTCTCGTAAAGTTTTGCAGTTCAAAAAAAATTTTAAACTACGAAACTTCACGGGAGTTCAACTCCCGTGAAGTTTAGCAGTTTTACTAAACTTCATGGGAGTTTAACTCCAGTGAAGTTTCGGATAAAATTTTTTTAAAAACCGACCTGGTTTCAGCTCCAGGGCTAAAACCAGGTCGGTTTTTGAATTTTTTTGCAAAAACGGTCGTTTTTTAAAAATAAATAGTGAAAGGGGTTGGTTTAGAAAATTTGTCCTTTTTCTATGTTCATATTTTTTGTTCCCCTTAACTTTCGTTGCCATTTCCAACTTTAGATATCAATAAAACAAATATCTAAACTAACTATCCAGGGTCACTGAAATTGTACTACGTTTAGGGCCCGTTTGGATAGTGGAAGTACTGGAAGTAAGAAGTAGGTTACAGAAGTAACTTTCAAAATTATGAAATAGGAAGTAGCGAAAATATCATTTTTTTTGTTTGTTTCATATATTAATAGAAGTAATGGAAGTAGAACTTCTTCCTCTTCATTTACTTTTTTTGTTTGGATAATATTTGAAAACATTACTAGGAACTAATTAATACATGTTGGTTCTATTTTATTCTTTTTTGGATTGTCATTGAAATAGAAATAAAATTGTTGTTGGGTTCAAATTGAGCGTTCCTATTGAAACCTCGTGACTTTACAAATATACTTAATATTACAGATACTGTTTACTAAACATACTCCTGAAAATTGAATTAGTCATTTGAGGAAAATCTCTTATTAAATTTAACCAAATCGGTGAATATTATGAAACTGGTCAAAAAGAACGATTTTCTTAAACTTGATTTGATCAACGTGATTGTGTATGACACATTGACATGTTGGGTTGATTTGATGTGTCACCTTTATCAAGTTCCTTGCATCAAATTGTGACTGAATTTAGCTTGAATTTATTTTAAATTTTAATTTTTTACTTTTTGTTTGGCTGATTAATTATAGAGGTTGGCCTTGTAATTCAGCGATGGCCTTGTATTTAGGTTTTGTTTGAGGAGGTAATAGATTTAGAATTTGGAGATTTTGGGAGTGATGGTCACAGGAAATTTCAAACATATATTTTAAGATAATGATGGTTTTTCGTCCAATACATAAATTGTCCATCGTGAATTACCTGCACGTATATACCTTCGGTTGTAAAACCATGTTCATTATCTGAGTTATAATTTAATATTATTTAAGATCATCTAATTTAAGTAGACCCCACTTTTTATCCACTTCCCCTCTACTTCTGAGCTTTCAAGGGCGGAAAAAAAATCTAGGAAATAGGAGTGTCACCTAGACGTCACATCTGCATTTATGAAAGTAGCTGAAGTAGTCTTTTCGGAGAAACAAATATAATTTTTTGCTTGAAATAGGAGAAACTTCCTCTACTTCAGTTACTTCTTTGCTACTTCCGTGCAAACAAACAGGCCCTTACCAAAGGGTTAAGGAAGAAGGGTTAAAAAGAAGGATTAATGTACTTAGCACATTCGATAATCTGAAGAACTAAATTATTAACCCGTTAAATAAGTTTTATTTTAGCCATTGTGATCAGTTTTAGTGTTTGGGAATAACAATGATTTTGACTATTTTCTTTATAATTAGAAGGGTTAACTCTTATTCCTTCTAAATAGGAGAATTAGTAAACCCCTCATTTTGAGGGGTTAACTCATTTTAATCCCTCTAGAGGGGTTAGCTTAAGCCTTCTATATTTTTTATGTTTGACAAATTATGAAGGGTTAACTCACTTTAACCCTTGTATAGATTTTTTGTGTTTGGCGGGTTAAGAAGAGGTCAAGTCTCCTTAACCTAACCCCTCACTTAATCCTTTACCAAACGATACCTTAAACAAAATTTTTATGAAAAATTTGCACCTCAGCTTAAAGACGTTCTGCCTACATACGTACGAAATCTTCAAATAATCGTTTTTTTTTATTAAAGTCTCATTAGATCTAAAATTTCGTTTTCCTTCAACTATTTCCCACCAATATCAACATAGTGGCGCAAGTCCCTTGTTTGTTAGGTAATTAAACAAATGCAAATTACAAAATTTTGGGGGGAAAGGTCAATATCATCTCTAAATTATGATCTAAACTTAGTTAGACGATGGAAGATTTGACACCACCGGTTATCTAGTTAGCATCACAGCACTAGAAGCTCATGCATCAAACATGTATATATCTTAACATTTGATTTGATTTATAGGTAATTTATATGTATGATAGTGCATTAAGTATTTCTTTTTGTCCCCCACAACTTTGCATTTATTGTGGGAAGTAGTTCATTTAACACTGCCATACATGCCATTTTCACCTGTCATCAACAAAATATCCAGCAGAGGTCACACTGTAGAAAAAATTTATGGGTGATAACCTAGAAAAAATTTATGTCAATTTTAAATTGGTGGAAATAGTAGAAATGAATACAAACAAATAAAAATCAATATAAATTAGATACTATTGCAAGCGGTATATAAATCAGTACAATCACCAACTTTAAAATTAAATTCTATTGCTAGTCATGCCGACTCCACTTATCTTGCTCTCTCTCACAAAAAGGAAATGCTAAAGACGCTAAGTGACTTACAAGGTTCTTCAGTGTTTTCTTTTTATGATTTTCTCATTAAATCTCATGTCGCCATGTGAACCGTTATGCATTTGTGTCTATTCAATTTTCTCTACTTAATAAAAATTTAGGGCATCTTGTAGGGGTGGTCATGGGTCGGTTCGAACCATGGGTCGAACGTCCTAGCCCACTGTTAGTCTAATGGATGTAGACTCAAAGCTGGAATCAAACAAATTGTTGAATAGTAGTTTTTCTAATCTGTTTTGGTAACATGATTCTTAATCTGTTTTGTTAATATGATTTTTAATCTGTTTTGGTAATAGGTTATTAGGATTTCTAATCCATTTTGTTTTTTGGTTTTAG